AGAAGAAATACAGATACTCACATGGGGGTGGGACCCATGTGAATTAGATATTGCCAAAAAAAAAAAAAAAGAGCCCCACCTATTTGTATGTAATATGTAAGCTTTCTGTATCTTTTTCATCTGTACACACAGCAATGTTCCAATAAAATACTGACAAGAGATTTTGACTCTTTATTACATTGCATTACTCTCTATATTTATTTTCTCTTATTATTGTTTGCTCTTAGTTTCATAACAATTTCCTATTTTTGGACAACCGATAATAATTTATATACACAAAATACTAGTACCTAAAATATATAAATAGAAATTGTCTCAAATTCGTTGATCATATTTGTGGCCCAAGATAGAAATAATCATTTGTCCAAGGAAGGCTTTTTAAGTAAACACTAAATTAAATATATATTCGGCTTATGTAAAGGTGACAACAAATGTAGATGACAATTCCGTAAAGGTGACAGTAAACGTAGATGACAATTCCGTAGAGGTAACAATTATTACAATATAAAATTTGGTTGTAAAATTAATTATAACTTTTATGGAATTTCCGAAAAAAGGTGGATTTTGTTAAAATGGAGTGACGTTTGGAGAGTTTAATCTCTTATTAATTTGATAGCTTATTTTTACCAAAGACAAAGGTTTATCTTAAAGAAACCATTTGAAATATTTAGTAAAAAAAGATTTGTAATAATGAAATAGTTTAATTTGGAGGTAAGATATTGTGCATTTAATGTTTACCTTAATGATTGACTGAGTGAAAAGGATAAAATTCTGATTGAATCCAAGAAAATTAACTAAAAATAGTTAAAAACTTAGTTGAGTTACCTGGCAACATTTTAATTTATGATGTAAATTAATTATTATTTGTGAATATTACTACGATTGTAATTGTTACCATGGGATATTAGCACTCAATAAAATGATGACAAGAGAGTTTGGCTCTTTCTTACATTAATTACTCTCTATATTTCTCTCCTCTCATTCTTGTTTTGTCTTAGTTTCATAATAATTTATATACACAAAATACTATTACCTAAAATATATAAATAGAAATTACCTCGAATTGCTTGATCTCAACGGATTCATATTTGTGGCCCAAAAAAGAAATAATCGCTTGTCCACGTAAGACATACAAGAGAGTTCAAAATTAACTATATATTTGGCTAATGTAAAGGTGACATAAATAACTCGCTCATTACACCACGAGTTCATATACAAAGTCGAGCTCGACTGTCGGCCAGCCTAGTTGCGTCCGACGAGTAAAGCTCGTGGGCTTTGCATGGGTTGGCTCGTAGTGGAATCGTCCAGGGCACACCCTATTTTCTTTATTTTTTCTTATTTAATTATGTCAAATTTCCTTTCTTTTTTATTGCATATTTTTTTCTTTAAATTCTATTGGTAATAGATTTTGAGCTAGAATTTAAATATTTGCATTAGGTACAAAGATTTATCTTTATTACAGTATAATAAAAACCATTTGAAGTATTTAGTAAAAATAATTTGTAATAATGAAATAGTTTAATTTGGAGGAAAGGGAAAGTAAATGTTTTTATTTATTTATATATCAAAGAATGAAATTACAAAATTGTGCCTTTGATGTTTACCTTAATAATCATTCTTCAATAATGCAATATTTCAATTCTAATTGTCCGCAAAATATGGGATATTAGTTCTTAATGAAATACTGACAAGAGATTTTGACTATTTCTTACATGTTGTATTATTCTCTAATTTCTCTTTTATTCTTGTTTACTTTTAGTTTCATAACGATAATTAATATAAATAAAATACTAGTACCTAAAATATATAAATAGAAATTATTTCAACTTGGTCGATCTCAAATTTGTGGCCTAAAATAGAAAAAATCGTTTATCTGCTTATCAGACAACTCGTTAGTACGTGAGAACTCTACCCATGAATTGCTCGCTCACTGCACCACAAATTCAAGGACATATTCGAACAGCTCAATTGTCGGCTGCCTAGTTGCGCTTGACAAGTAAAGCTCGTGGGCTATGCAAGGGTTGCCTTTCTGGGCTCTTCCAGGGGCCCACCCTGGTTTCTTTTTTTATTTAATTATATCAAATTTCATTTCTTTTTTATTAACTACATACATTAGGTATTATATTCGAACAATTCTAGTCAATCCTTTAAAAAACAAAAAAAAAAGTTGGGTATCATCCAAACTTGGTTGGATCGATGTTCCGTACAGGTCTAATAATTACAGCAATGTAAAATTCTTCTAATTAGTTTTTATTATTAGTGGAATTATGTTGATACTCGATGTAGCAACATTTTAGGAGGCGAAATAGTGGTGGCAAAGAAGTAGTGGCAACGAGCCAAGTCACTCGGAAACCCAAGCTTTTTGGGCTCGAGCCAGCCCCCAAGAAATGGGACTTCGCTCAAGCCTTTGTTAAGCCAAGCTGGCTCGCGGGCTTTTCGACTTTTTCAATCAAATATACGAAAAATTGATCATTAATTTACAAACTACAAAATTAATTATGCAAGTTGTTGAATTTTGCAAATTAAGTGATCATTAATTAATTTAATTTACAAATTAAAAAAATTGATTATGCAAGTGATTTAAAGGCGGGCCACACGAGTCCACATACGGGCTAATCTGTATTTGGGCTGGTGGGCTTGTCCGAGCTCAAGTCAAATCTCATTTTTGAGGCTTGGCTCGAGTTTTGGCTTGTAACGAGCTCTAAACTACCTCGACTTAAAACTTTTTTCAAGTCAAGCGACGAGTTGCCTGAGCCGACAGCATGTTTGCCACCACTATACAGAAGTGATATGTCATCTTAAATATGATGTTTCCCTTTTTTAAGGTGATCGATTAATTAATGACGTTTGCACGACATCTTAGCACACATGTTAAATAACATTACTATATTCAATTATATATATTTCTCCTCTGTTTCCATTTAAAATTCTCTCGTGTAATTTAATTCATGGGCAATCTCTTTCAAATATTTTATTATTACAATGCATAAATCAGAAAGCTGATTCATAACTGAAATTATTTTTGTCAATAGCTTTGTGTAAAAGAGCACATGCAGTTTTCCACGTTTCAAATGCCACACATGTTCCGTAGCAAATCTCCACGTGTAGTCACTTGCCAAGAATGCCCACATGGGTGCTGACTCTCATTTTGCCATTTTATTGGATCTACAGTTTTATCTTCTTCAACTTAGAGTAAGATAATTTTTATATGAAATTTTCTTAATAAGATTAATGTAGAATATTGCATACTGTTTCGCGCGTTTTTGCTCGCTAATAATTAAAAAGGGGATCAGATGATTGTGTAAGGGACAAATCTCTTNCGTTTTCGCTCGCTAACAATTAAAAAAGGGAATCAGACGATTGTGTAAGGGACAAACCTCTTGGAACATAGTCCCAATAATGGGCGTTTATTGAATATGAAGATTACAGTTTGGATACGAACAAGATGCCTCCAAGGGGCGCAAGCACACAAGTATAAGGGGATTTGAAGTAATTAAATATTAATCTAAGAAAAGTAAATTACATGTTCTCTGTTTTGAGAGTGAATTTTGTCGGGTCCTTTCTTCGTTGTCTTCTTCCTCCTTTTATATGGCTTGGGCAGTTTTGATCGTTTAGCAACTGCTTGTAACTACCCACTTCTTTCATCAGGGTCGGCTGGCTAAAAACTATCGTGTGCAACTTCTATCACTACGCTCTCTTCATAACTGCTTGCCATCAACTTTCTCAAATCGTGGGGCGTAATTATGGTGC